CTACGTGCTCTCTGCGGCCCCTCGGCTGTCATTTGCCAAGTGGTTTAATAATTCATAATTAATGCAACTTGCAGCCCCGGTTTAGCAAAGCACACAGTGAGATTTAAGCGCCTCTGAGTGCTTTGTTGTGGCAAGGTTGTAGAGGTGATGCTCATGAGGAATATCTCTGTGCCGTCGCTTTGCTTATTCAGTTGTTATTTCCCTTGGTAATGTTTTATGGGATAAACATGGTTCTTAATAGGGGTGGGGGAAGGATTTCAGAGGGGATCGTACAGCATGTTCTTAGCAAACCTTAATGTCAACCAGAAGCCTGCTTTGTGTTCCCGGCACCATAGCCAGCTTGAGTTTTATATCGAACGCCCGCAGACGAGCTACAGCTTTCGCTCGTGCTCATCCGAAAGGCGTGCGTTTCCATGGCTCCGGGGTGAAATATTGAGCCTGGCAGCCCCACGCAGTGGAGAACGGCAGCAAAATAACCTGCTGTGTCCACGTGCGCCGCGGTGCTGGCTCTATTCTGGCCGCAGGACGGCCACCAGCCGATGCACCGCGCTGGCAGCAGCAGATGCCATCTCTCCTCTTCCAGTGCAGGACCCCCTGGGGTAGCCGCCGACGGATGTGCTCGGTGTCTCAGAGCATCATTGTGCAGAAGGAAGGTCTGGTGGGGTCAGCACATCACCCCCCGGGTTTTCAACCCTGGAAAGGGTTTGGTGGTGTGGTAACAACCATCCTGGGCCAGAGCAGGGCTCCTGCTCCCCTGGATGGCCTTGGGAAACAGATTCTCAGGTTTCCTTGTTAGAAAAAAAATCACCGCTGCATGGTGGGTTCTCCCGTCGCGCTCTCTTTCTTCCAGATTAGGGCTCGCTCAGGTTATTAGCTGTGTTCTCAGATGAAACACTTCATTAAGAGGGAGCTAGAGTTGCTGTAAATAAATACTGGTAATTCAAGAAGATTGGGCCTCAGTGCACTGGTGTAGCTCTGAAATGGCAAATGACCGCAGGAGAGGAGGGTCGGTGCCACCTTCGCCCTGTCCAGGGCAGCACAGGACCAGAGACCTAGAGCCACCCTGCCTGTGCCCGGGCATCCACTGCCTTTGGGTGCCCAGGAAACCCTCCGGTGCCAGAGCCTGCCCCGGCTGTCTTCTGCTGTGATTGCACAGGAAGAGTTTTCTTCTTCTCCAAGCTGAAATTTTCCTTGCAGGAGTTCAGCAGACCTGGAGAACAATGTATTCCCCTCCTCTTTGCAAGCATTTTTTTCCACATTTGAAGGATGTTATGATATCCCCTTCAGCCTTCTCTAGACTAAACAACCCCTGCTCTTTCAAACTTTATTCCTAGATTATATTTTCTAGATGAAATTTTTTAGACAAATGATTACTGCTGTCCTCTGAAGTCTCTGTGGTCAGACTGGAACACTCCTGGCTTGCTCCTGCTATGCCTTGCTGAGGTTTTGCAGCTCTGCAAAGAGGGGCAGGATCATTTAGGAAGCTTTGAAAGACTAATCTGGGCCTAACCCCCACTCATTTACACCTTGCATTGGTGTAAATGTAAAGTTAAGCCTGGAGTCATCTTTGTGATTTGCCTGGGTTAGAAGTTGCATTCTCAACCTGGTACTCGACCTCAGCCTGCTCTGGGCACCGTAAGAGCTGTGTGGAGCAATCGATGCCTTCAGTGATGCTGGAAAAGCACAGCTTTTCTCCTGAGTGAGGAGAAGAAATCCTTTGCTGCTGCTGTGAGCAGATAAAACAAAGTTGCCCTGGCCCCTGGCCGCACTGCTTGAGGGGTTATTTGCCAGTGTGGCTCCCAAAAAAAGGCTTGTGCACGTGCAGCCTGACAAATGTGCCTGGGAAAATGCATTTGGCCCTCAGCAAGGAGAGTTTCCCACTCTGACATATGGAGAAATGAAGCCGCTGGGTCTCAGGGTGGCTTTGCTGCAGCCTCCCGAGCACGGGCTCCATCACGCCCTGAGCTCCGTGTGCTGGTGATGGTGGTGTACGTGCTCCGTGCTGGATTCCTCTTACAATTGACATTTTTGCAGCGATTCAAGATCTTAAAATGCGTGTGCTTAATTATAATCAGGCTGTCTGGATGAACAGCCAGAAACATCCCCTGGACCTAATAATCGCTGATTAAACCTTGCGCTCCAAGCATGAGCTGTACGTGCATTGCAGGCTCCTCGTCTGGAATTGCTGCTCCCTGTGCTGACCAGCACTTAGAAAAGGAAAAGACAAAATCACTTACAATGTCTCCTGCAGGTGTGTGCAGGGGGCTTGAGACCCCCCTCCTGTGTAAACTAAACCTGTTAAATGCTGGCTCTGTCTTTCCCAGAGCCAGAGCCCCCCATTTATCGTGGCTCGCTTTACTTCCAGCAAAAAGAAGCAGAGGTCTCATTGCAGGTCGTCCCTCTTGGCCACCACGGCTGCATGTAATGCTCCTGCTTGATGTGGAGGATGCAGATAAGTCTCACTTAATTTGAAAATACTGTTTCACTCCTTCCATGTCTCCGGAGCCTCTCCCCAGATGTTCATTTTTATTCTCACTGGATACAGGACCGTAGGAGAGAGATGGCTGTGCTGGGAGAGCTGAGACCCATGGGTGCCATCCGGTGCGGCTGGCTGTATGCTGGGGGCAAGCACCGTCTCGCCCCGAGCCCGTACGAGGCGGGACGAGGTTGGCCCCTTTCAAACAGTGCTGCCAAAATCAATTTGCTGACACCACAGAAGCATCCTGTGGTGTTTGGAGCTGTATTCCTGCACAGCGCTGCTGTCACTCGTTCTTATTTCGGAGCTGAGCCAGTTCTCTTAACGAAGGGTTGCATAAATGTCACCAAGGGCTCATTTTCTTTGGCGTCAGCTATTGTCTGACAGATCTGATTAAGGCCACATTCAGCTGTCAGCGGCCATGATTCACATGCGGATCAGCTCCACTGGCGATCCCACTGTTATTTTGGCTGTTTGGGAGGTCTTTGTGCATGTTACTGAGTTGCTTTTCCCCCCGGGGGTGCTGCTGGGCTCCTCAGTGGTGGCACAGGAGGCACATGGGGAGCAGTGCCTGGTGTGGCAAAGGGCATCACCGGGATCAAAGGCGGAAGATCACGGCTCCAGCGGGGAGGTGGGGTGTGCTGGGAATCGCTCACTCCCATGACGGGAGCGGGGAGGGCAGGAGGGCAGGTCCTTGGAAAGGATGGGGAGGCCCTCTGGGGACTTTTTCCAAAAGGTGGTCACCATTGTTGGGTTAGCTCACTTGAGATCAGGAAAAAGAAGTCATGAAGCTGGCTTGAAAAGTGTGTCGTTTTTGAAACAAAACATGGCTTTAACATTTTTTTTAACCCAGCCTCTCCCTCTTCCTGCGGCATTCAGGAATCAATTTTGCTTTACCTTCCTCTGTAATCATAAACTCCAGGAATATTCCCACTAACAGTGGAAAAGCAAAGGAGCAGAGAGAAATGGCTGTGGCAGCTAGAACTCAGCGAGGAAAGCCAAATCATGTGAGACCCAGCAATGGCTTGTGCTCAAGCCCTAACGCTCTCCCTGGTGCCACCGAGGGGAGTATTTGGAAAACCTTGCCCATCTTTGCAGGATGTGTTGATCTTTTTAAATCTGAGTCCAAAGAAACCCTGAAGCAGCTCATGAGTGGGGTTAGCAACAGCAGCCCTTGTTCTTGTTCAGGTTTGGCAGGCAGCAGCTAATGCCGAAGGAGCTGAGCTCTCGATGAAATGTAAGCAGCTTTTGTTAAGGGAAAAAGAAGTTTATTCTTGCATTGAGGGCTGGGTTGTTGGTTTTTTTAATTAATTTACAAAGTCATAAATTCTCGGTGATTGCATAAGGCCTGTGCGTCATGTTGAAAATCCTGCTGATGGTGCACAGCTCTCCGCCTTTGGTCTGCACGGGGAGGTTGTCGGAGAGGGATGGCGAGAAGAGCGCCAAAGCAAACACTCTGCGTTTGATTTGGGATGAAATGGATTTCCTTTGAAATAGCTTGCGAAACACGTTGTCCTGAGCTTGAAATGCAAGCGCTGAGTGCTGCCAGTTGTCAAGCCAACATGGAGATAGTCAGAAAATAGATAGAAAACATGGAGAAAACAGGCCAAGGACTAGGGCGACATGGGGTGCGTTGAGTTTCTCATTGATGGGCACGTGCTGAGCAGACACCCTGCTTCTCTGCTGCCGGGTGAAGGTTTTCTGGGCTGGAGGAAGGCAGCTTGCAGGAGCTCAGGGCTGGCTGGCAGATGGGAGAGACTCAGTGGCCACCTTCCCAAGCAGGGCAGCCCATCGAGCTGGAGCTGATGTTCCTGGCTCCTGCCCATGTGCAGCTCCCTGGATATCTGCAGGGATAGCCTGACCTTCCCACTGTCCCACTACTTATGGGGAGCTCCAGCAGACCCTCCAGGGCTTGGGTGTTCCCTTGCCTCTTGGGAAACCTGACTTCATGTACATGACCAAGGCTGTGCCTTCGGTCCTCCCATGGGTGTCATTCAGGGGACCTGTGCGATGCAGCGTGGTGACTAGCCTCAATTAGTCAGTGGCCCCATTTTCATCTGCCCCTGATGCTGTTGAGTCCTTCAAAACATGTCATTGTTGCACAAGATGTGGGTGCCAGATCATGGCACCCTAGTTATCTCAGCGTGCAGGAGGCCTCAGGTTACCTCTGACGCATAATTTCTCACTGGCATCTCTAGTTATTCCTATCAAGTTACAGACAGCATAGACATATGGGGAAGGAAGTCGTGAAAAGCAACTTGGAGTTCAACTCAAAACACCTTAAATTGGTGTGATTTCCCCAAAGGAGGAACTGCCTGCTCTTTAAAAAAAAAAAAAAAAAAAAAAAAAAAAAAAAAAAATTAAAATATCATCATCCTCTTGAAGGGCTCTTCAGGACAGCATCTAAACCACTGAGCTATTTTTTAAAGCAAAAGTCTTGGGCCAAATCCAGCCTTCTCCCTGCATCTCTGCTGATAGAATAGTCTCCTTTTTAACTCTTTTTTTGCTTCCTTTCCCTGCAAAGGCCTCTCTGCAGATGGTGGAGCCAAGCGCCAGGAGCATCTCTCCAGGTTCTCGATGCCTGACCTGAGCAAAGACTCGGGCATGAACGTCTCGGAGAAGATGAGCAACATGGGGACTCTGAACTCCTCCGTGCAATTTCGAAGCGCCGAGTCCGTCCGCAGCCTGCTGTCGGTGCAGCAGTACCAGGACATGGAGCCGAACCTGCACAACCTCGCCAGCCCCCTCGCGTACCGAGAGCGGCCGTCGCATGGGCGGATGCACCAGAGCTTCGACTATGGTAGCGGGGTGCCCGGGGGCAAGCTGGGGGCTCAGGAGGGCTCGAGGCATGCCCCCATGAGCGAGCGCACACGCCGGCGAACTAACCTCCGGGATGATGATCGGCATTACCGCCCGCACCGGCCCCGGCGGTCTCGACGTTCCCGGTCGGATAACGCCCTGCACCTGGCCAGCGAGCAGTGCTGCCGGCTGAAGGAGAGACCCTCGCTCCGAGCCAGGGAAGACTACGACCAGTTCATGCACCAGAGGAGCTGCAGAGAGGCGGTGGAGCAGGGTCCCCGCAGGGACATCTACGGCCACTGTCCCCGGACGGTGTCGGATCTCGCCTTGCAGAACCACTTGGGCGAGAGATGGGGGCCCTACTTCGCCGAATACGACTGGTGCTCGACCTGCTCCTCCTCTTCCGAGTCCGACAACGAGGGCTATTTCCTCGGGGAGCCGATTCCCCAACCCGCCCGGCTCCGGTACGTGACCAGCGAGGAGCTCCTGCACAAGTACGGCTCGTACAGCATGCCCAAGTCTTCCACGCTGGGTGGCAGGGAACAGTTGCACAGCCGGAAAAGACAGAAGAGCAAAAACTGTATCATATCCTAATGGCATCCTTGCTAGGCACCTTGGCAGAATGTAAATTCACTCACAAACTTGCACTGTTTAAGATCATGTAAGCGCTTTTATTGTAACAAAAAAGACCTGAAGAGTAGGGCTAAGAAGGTTGTAGACTGGCTTCTATAAATAGTCATAATCCTGGGCACCGTTGAATATATTTTGCACATCTTACTTTGGAGAAAAAAAAAAAATAATGAAAAGTTCACTTTAACCTGTAATATTTACCCAGTAGTTTTCCCTGTTTCTCCCAAATACTGCTACCCTTTCGAGTTCCGTTTGTCTGTATGTTTTGGTTACCACTGTTGACTCTAATCATCAGTTTGCCGGTAGCTTTTGCTTTCCACCACATTTTTGTTTTCCATTAGCCATGTTGGTAGGTAATTTGTCTCTCGGACAGTGTGGGAGCCTAAGTTATTTCCATGATTGTTGTAAATGCAATGTAAATGAGAGTTTGGAGAAAATATTTTTGTATTTTGTAATATCAGAGGAATTTCTATATCTTAGAAGTCACTGGGAAAAATGCATGCACATTCAGAATTGTTTTCAGCCAGAGCTAACCAAACAGTACTTTGGACCCCCCTCCTTCCATTTCATCATCAGATTTCTTAGGTATATCAGTGAAAGTTTGAGTTGTCATTTGTTTTGAGGGTTGGGGTTTTTTAACCCTTTTTTCTGATCATTTGTTTTGATCCTGGTAAATAAAGAGAACATTTTCTGATTCATTAAATCTTGAAGAGGCCTTGGTGGCATTCTGAAGTCTGCTCATGCCTGTGATTTGCAGGTATGCTCTATCAATCAGATACAGGAATCCTGACAGCTGCAAAAGGGACTTTTTTTTTTTATTATTATTAGTATTATTATTATTAAATAGGAAAGAACAGAACTACCAAATGTCTGCAACGTTGTAAATGACCAAAGCCGGAGAAGGAATTTTACACCTCTGTAGAGAACGCTGAAGTTACTCAACATTGAACTATTATTTGGAGTAAATAAAAGTGTAAATGGTGCAATTGTGTGATGTCAGCATGACGTTGTTTTGAATATAGACTTGTCTTATGGTGCTCTAGTCTCCTGGGTTATGTTAACTGCTGTTCATTACCAAGTGGAAGTCTCAATATTGCCTACTGCCTACCACATAAGAGAACGACTGCAAACTGCTCCCCGTGGGCCTGATCCTGCCCTGGCGAGACACCCTCGCCCCTCCGAGGCCGCTTGTGGCGGGGGGAGCTCGTGTCCCGGGTGGGCTCAGCCCCCTCCCGCGGAGCTAGGACAGCCCCACGGCAGCCTCGCCGTGGCAGAGTGTTCTATAAATAGGGCTCAGCTGTATTGTATTATGGTGGATGTGAGTTTGTTCTCTGTACGCTTTAAACCATTGAGGTTCTGCCATCGCGGTGCATCCCGGCGGATGCGCCGGAGGGTTGCAAGCCAGCGCTGGTTGTCCCCGTGCTTCCCGGGAAGAAGCAGGGTTACAAAAGGGGCTCTTGGCACCCCAAAGATGCGGATTAGCGCCTGAGGGTGTTAAGGCAAAGCTGGGATTTGAGCTGCAGGAGGGCTGGGAGGCTTAACTGGCTGCATCGCCCTCGCCCCACGCGCTGCCGGCATCTCGGGGTGCCCCTGCACCTCCGCCAAGCCGGCCCCTGCCCTGCACCCCGAGGGGGAGGGTCCCGCTGATGGGGACACCCCGTTGCCTACTCAAAGCAGCAGATGCAGAAAAATCTTGAAGATGGATGTCTCCATACCACAGACTATTGCTAGGAATTTTTTTGTTGTTTGTAAAGGACAATGTGATAATTATTATTCCTTTAAAATGAAAAAGAAACAAAAAAAAAAAGAAATTACACTTAAGTATATTTAAAAAAAAAATATGTTTTTTCCAGTTGGAATAAATGGAAGTATTCATCCAAAGGGAAGAGTCTCATGTGTATGTTTTTTGCTCTTACGGAGCATTGGTCAATTGTGAGTAGAAAACTTGATTTTCATTTAACTAGTCTTGCAATAAATGCACAAGAACCAGCTGAGGCCCATCCCTGACATGGTTTCGGTGGGCGGGGAAAGCTGATGGAGGAGCATCTCCTGCACACCACACACCTTCCCCAGGGTTGGTGGTCTGGACCCATTTTTTGGTGTTAAAAAAGCCGTGTCTTCACCTGGTGTAAATCAGCACAGCTCAGCCAAAATCCCTGGTGGGCCTCCAGCTTACACTGAGGGAGACCTCAACATGTAATTTATAAATAACAGCCTTTTTCTTAGGAAGATCACAGATCTTTCCTTGTTTTCCAAAACAGACGCGGTAAGTCGGGCAGGGGTATTGCTTTCAGCGACAAGTATGACACTATAACTACAGGTTATTATGTGATTGTCATTTAATATGTACAATTTAATTCATTGTCAGTGATTAAAAGCACAATGAATGTTGTCTGTCAGCTCCAGTACAGCTGAGCTGCTCTTTGTACAGGGGGAGCCTGAATCGCTCAGCAAATGGTAAAAAAATAATCCCCAGCCTTTCCCCTTTAACCGCTTGCTGCCTTTCCACGGGGGTAACACAACAGGCTCTAAAGACTCCTTGCAGCAGGATTGTAGCACCTTTTCCAGTGCAATTTTGTACCAAAACCCAGGGCCCAATGCCCACACGCACAGGGCGGTCTTGCTGCTGGAAGTGGCTCTTCAAAATCGGGTTCTTGCTGGAGAGCATCTCTGCATCCCTGCAGATCACTGATGAACAGCCCAGCTCTAATGCTGGAATCAGATCAGACAGGCAACAAACGGGGGTGATAAGAGCATCTCGGGGGATGCTCCCCTCCACCGGGCCCTTCACCAGCACAACAGAAAGGCCTCGGATCAGATTTTGTAACACAGTGCTGGCAAATACTGGGTTGGTACAAATTTCAGCAGCAAAAGTGCAAACACAGCTTCCAGACCCTTATTTTTCATATGGGCTCCAGAAATCCTATATACTTTGTGACACATGGGTTAAAAGAAAAAAAAAAAAAATGTTTGAGTTTTTTTCTTTTTCTTAGCCTGTTTGGAATATGATTAACCATTTCTGACAAACCCACTGAGCTTGAGGGATGGAGCTAGAAGTCTGTAAAATTCTGCTCCGTCGCCATCTGGCCCCGCTGGTTTGCCTCCCCGTGCACGCTGCGCACGGGTGCCAGCGCCCCGTGGGAGCAGGGGGCACATACAGCCATTTTCCTTCCCTTCTCTGAGGACTGAGTAACGATGACACCACCTGAAGCTCAGAGCGAGTATCAGCGGGTTTGAGTTTCCCGGGGTGGGGGAATGGGGCGCAGTGCTGGGGTCGCCGTTCGGCCAAGGGAGTGGGAAGCTGCTGGTGCCTCAGACAGCTGTGTTGCCAGTCATCCTGGCACACTCTCAGTGTTGCTTAAAAAGAAAAAAAAAAAAAAAAAATCTGATCACGTCTCTTCCTGCCACTGTTTTCTTCCATTAAAAAAATCTTTTTTCCCTTTTTTCCCCCAAAAAGTCCTTGGCAAGGCCTGCCCAGTGGGACCCCGGGGGATGAGCTGGCTTCGGCAGTACCCTGACCATGGCTTTGCGAGGCGCAGGGGATTAGGCTGCCTTTAGCAATCAGGCTCGGAGCACGCATCACCTCCCATGAGCTGGTTCTGAGCACACAAACACAAAACCCCTCGGCAGCCGTTACCTCCGCTGCAAAGCCAACGTCCTCATCGCACGCTTGGCCACAGCCCGGGAGGCAGCATCCTTCATGTCCCCTCTCCCCAGCAGGCTGGCGGGCTCTGTAAGGTCCCTGCAACACCCAAAACACCCCAGCACGGGCAACGTTTTGACCCAAAATCTACTGGTGCTGTGCAGGGAAGCTTCCAGCACATTGAGGTTTGTTTTTCGGGAAGCCAAAAGCCACACAGCCTTGAACCCGTGCAGATAAATTAGCACCAGATGAGCAGAGCCTCTGCGGAAAGATGCAGAGATAGGGAGTATGAGGTTAGAAAGAATCAGAAGCACCCTGATCTGGAAATTCTTATACGCGGATAATCCCGTATGTGCAAACAGCCCAAGTGGCTCTGGCTACACAACCACCACCGAGCCCGTGGCAGCGAGCAGCCTGCGCTGCCGGGGCGCCCACCAGCCCAGAGTTCCCTGGTGCCTTTGAAAACCCACTTGCTCATGAACAGGTACCGATGTGCGGCTTAACAACAGCAGCAGCATGTGGAGGCTTAATTAATGAGAGCAGTTAGAGGAAGGCTAAGGGCTGCTGAGAAACCGGCATGAGTTTAGCATCACAATTTAACACCCCAAAAAGACCTGTCCGTGCTGCATGGGGCTGGCGGCACCAAACCTGGCACTGCTCTGTCACTGCTGCCCCCAGTCCCCAGCCCACCCCCAGTTTATAGCTAATCCACGCTCCTGGGCTGGGAGCTGCCATGTTAGCTGATGTACTTTGCTCTTTCAGGCTAGAAAAAATAAAAAAAATAAAAAAAAAAAAAAAAAAATCACTGTTCCTTGAATTTGCATACAATTATGCTATTCTTAAAATCTAGGCTGCCCTCATTCTCCTGGAGATTATTTGCCACCCATTAGATGCCCATCCTCCACAGCCAGAGGAAGCTTATTAGCTAGGGGTAATTTCAGAGGACTTTATTTTAAAGATTTTGGTTTTTTCCTTGTTATGCAACACATTTTCAACCTAAATCCTTCAGACTGTTTAATAATTCAGCTCTTTTTTGAGTACAGAGGGGAGCTGGTGGCCAAGCATGCCTTAACACCTTGAGAGCTGGGTCACTAGAGAGCTGGTTCCCGTTTCTAAAAGCATTCACACGTCATGACGTATCAGTGCATTTATAAACTCTACCTAATAATAACATTTTTTTTTCTCGTAAGGACCAGATCTTAATTCAGCCTCCGAAGTGGGAGTGCTGTCAGCCAGGTTTCACCTCTCCATCTGCCACGAGGTGCTGCTGAGCCCACCACCCTGCCGGGAGACCCAGCGCGACTGCAGCCGAGAGCCGACCCTTTCCCACCCTGTCATCACCACACATGAGTTCACCAACCCAGACGCTTTCAGCATCCATTTTTTGAGTTATATCAGCACGGTCTGATCAGCTCCCTTCGCTTTCCTGAGTGTGAGATCTCACCTTTTCATTCCCTTTTAAACTGGCTGCAGACAACCACTGCCCAGGTGAAGGGTGTCGGCTCTGCAGCTCTCCATACGGGTAGGTTTGCTTTGGAGAGTCCCACCGGCACCTGCCTGAGTCTCCCTTAGGAAAGACCTTCCCGTTTTCCACAGCTTTTTCAATATTTTACAACTCTGAAAGAAAAATAAATAAATAAACAGAATGCTTTTATTACCAGGCAGGTACTGCTAGATGCTGACATTTCATTTGTTAGACAGCAAGACACTATTAGTGCCAAGAACGCCTGTCTGGATCTCTGCTGAGTAGGAAAAAAAAAAAAAAAAAAAAAAAAAAAAAGAAGAAAGTTTAAATTATCTGAGTCTGCTGCCTCTGTCCATTGACACTTGACTCCAGCATTGTGCTGTGTGTCTCCCTCCACTAATGGCCTCAGCTTCATCTGCCTCCAGGCTTCATCCTCACCTGGGAGGAGGAGGAAGCCAGCTCGCAGGCTTAACCCACCTTGTGCCACACTGTCCCTTAGCTCGGTGACCAAACACACCTACGGCTCCACCTTTTTGCTTCTTCACTTCTTATTATTAACTCAGCAAATTACCAGCTTCCCTGTTTTAGGCAAACCCAGTCATTTGCTAAAACATTCTCAGGAGAGCTTTCTCGTTGTGAAAGCAAATATTTATATCTGCTGCGCTCTTTGCGGCTCTGGATATGATCAACTCTTAAGGCAAGATTTATCTGAAAGAGCTGATTTATTGAAATGGATAAACAAAGCCCTGTGAAGCAAGTAAATTCAGTCTAAATAAAGCATTAAACTCTGAAGAGTACACATCAGATCACAGTATATACACACACACACACACACATATGTATATATACACACGCATATAATTCATACAATCAAATACGCAGTCCTCTGGACCAGGACACCATTATCAACATCACCCCCAGGAGAAAGCTAGCCCTGAGCCAGGCTGTGTGTGTATTTGGCAATGTATATATTAACACATGCCCTGATTTTTAACAAACCCAGACCAGCAATCCGCTCCCATCCCAGCTGCAGTGATCCCTTCGGCTGCCGGCCCTGCTTGTGTTCTGTGCCTCAGTTTCCCCATCTCCAAACCTCCACCACGATGATGTTTCTACCAACAAGGAGCTTAAAAGCATCAGCTGAGGGAGGCTGCCAAAACAGTTCCAATTTAAACTAGTGGCTCTGGCTCAGGGTTTGAGCTAGTTTTGTTGGCACCTGGATGCAAGCATGCTCGAGCTCCCTCCCCAGCCAAAGTTCATTTTCTATCAACACAACCCTCACTTAGATCCTCGCTGTTCGAAAGAGCTCTCTTCAGCTGTATGCAAGATTATTTTTTTTCCTTTTTTTCTGTAAGTCAGGCTTTAATTGTCAGTTATTTGCTCATGAGTACTCTTTTATGGTTGATGTTGGAGCAGATTCAAGCAGTTTTTATTTTGGTACTTGGTTTAATTAGCATTTTTGGAAGAGTGAGGCAGGGCAGAGATCTGTTCTTGCTGCTCATCACATATTCATTATTTATATTTTTCAGTATCCCAAGTAACTCGGCACAGAAAACAAATAAATGAAGACTGAAACATATACAAAACATCTGGAGACACTGCAATTCTGTAATTATTACTGCTCATTCACAATACACAAGGGCTCCACAGACTGCCTGTTGGAAAGGCCATTAATATATTGGCCTGATGGAGATTTTTGCTGCCGGACTGGATGCTTCCAGATGAGCCCCCCTGTCCTCCCACCCCCTCTGCCTGGGTCAGGTCTCACCTTGA